TCGCTTCATGGCTTTCAGTTTATAATCTGTACGATTTGTACTGGCTTCCCCTCGTCAGCCCTAAAAACAGGGCAATTATCGGGTGATCCATCCCCTGTTGTCTAGTCCTAGCATCTGGCAATTGGAGGTTTAGGATCACTCAGCTCAGAGCATGGGGTAGCATCCCTGAACATCTTGGCTAATAGCCATTGGTGGACCTATCCTCCATGAATTTATCTAATTCTTTTTTGAACCCTGTTATACTTTTGGCCTTCACAACATCCCCTGGCAATGAGTTCCAGGTTGACTGTGTGTTGTGTGAAAAAGTACTTCCTTTTGTTTGTTTTAAACCAGCTGCCTGTTTATTACGTCGGCTGATCCCTGGTTCCTGTGTTATGTGGAGTGGTAAATAACACTTCCTTATTCACTTTCTCCACACCATTCAGATTTTATAGCCCTCTATCGTTTCACCCCTTAGTCATCTCTTTTCTAAACTGAATAGGCCCATTCTTTCTTATCTGTCCTCATATAGAAGCTGTTCCAGACCCCTAATCACTTTTGTTGCCCTTCTCTGGACTTTTCTCAATTCTAATCTATAATTTTTGAGATGGGGCAATAAGAACCTTACACAGTATTCAGGGTGTGATCGTGCCATGGATTCATATAGTAGCATTATGATGAAGCCAACCACTTCCATATACACTTGAAGTCGGTGTAATAAATAACAGCAAAGGAATGATATCCCAGAGTAAATTTTTGGTCTGTTTAGTGAATGGACTCTGGTTTTCATAGCCTTTGTCATTAAGAGCCAAATCTTGTTCTTGTTGAACGGAATTGTCAAATTCCCATTGACAACATCCGAAAGTTGCAAGGTAGTTGGACACGGGAGGCAGAGGTTAACTGATTTATACTTGGCAAAATAAGCCCTAAATCCCTTTTCTCTGATGGATGGTAACTGGAAGAAAGTGCCATTAAAAATGGCTGCACTTTTTTCTGTAATCTGGGTAATCCAGAAGAAGAATTTATTAAAAATGGGTGTTGGAGGCCCAGGGGTCATTATTCTTTGAGTAAAACTTCTCACTGTAAAACTTCTTTTAAAAGTTTCATTATTAATAGCTCTAGGAAAGAGACGTGTAACCAAATTATAATGTGGGGACAGGATGCAAATAAACGCTAGGTAAGATCTTTCACAAGTGAAAAGTGCTTTTGTAGCCCACTGAGTCTGTAGACTCTGAAGACGAGTTCTTTGTAAGCTCAAAAGCTTGTTTCTCTCACCAACAGATGTTCGGCCAATAAAAGATATTCCCCACTTTGTTTCTCTCAAAAGTAGTTTGGTTTAAAGGCAGTCCAACATATATTCTGCTGCTATGATCCATATAATTCAACAGATTTCCAGTAAGGATTGGCAATCCCTTTCTACCATTATAATAATTAATCATTCTTTATTAATTTGGGTCACACTTTGTTAGAAGTACCTTTATAAATGGTTAATAGATGATGATGATGCAAGTAGAGCTGAGTAAATATTGGAATTGTTTTGGTACATTGGGAATTTTGAAAATTTGGAGGTGGAAGGGGGAATTTGCTTCCTGTCGGACCACAAATGAATATTTTCAAATTTTTTGGTGAATCAAAAAATTGAAAAAGTGATCATTGTAGCTTAAATGAAACATTTAATTAAGGCAAAATACTTTGTTTTGACGTTGACCATTTTTAATGTTTCTGATTTTTTCTTTTTAAATGTAAAAAAATGTAAAATGAAACCAAATAATGAAAATTATGAATATTCAAAAAATCTTGAAATGATCCTGTTTTGGGTTGAAGGTTTGTTTCATTTTGGTTTGGGGTGGTTTTTACCTTTAAAAAAAAATAAAATCTAGCTAAATTTTGAAACAAAATGAATTAATTTCAGAACAAGAGCTATTGAAACATTTTGCCTCTAAAATATTGAAACAAAATGTTTCATCTTATTAAAATAAACAAGTTTTTTGGCTGAAACTATTCACTGAATTCACAAAGTTTTTGTCCATCCAAAACTGTTTTTTGGTGAATAAACTGTTCACCTGAAAAATTTAACCTGGCTCATTACAGACCCCTTTCTACACTAGCACTTAAACCATTGCTTCTACCAGTGTAGCTTGACCGTTGCTGAAAAATAGACACCGGGGGGCTGGTCTACACTAGGAGGGGGGAATTGATCTAAGATACGCATCTTCAGCTACGAGAATAGCGTAGCTGAAGTCGACTTATCTTAGATCGACTTACCTTGTGTCCTCACGGCGCGGGATCGACTCCGCTTCCGCCTCTCGCTCTGGTGGAGTTCCGGAGTCGACTGGGAACGCGTTCGGAGATCGATTTATCGCGTCTAGACGAGATGCGATAAGTCGATCCTTGATAGATCGATTACTACCTGCCGATCCGGCGGGTAGTGAAGACGTACCCCAAATGTGCTGGTGCAGAACAAGCAAACTAGCTCTGAGTCAGGAAACAGGTTTTGAGCCTCTCTGGAAATGTTTCACACTGTCCGGCAAAGAAAAAGAAGCTTCTTTAGCTGATGAATTGCAATAGGATTCTTTAAGTGAAGCTAGAGATAATCAAAACAAATAGTCCCATTTTTCATAACATCTTTAAAATGGTTATTGCTAGTTACTTAGTTAAGACTAGTGTTGATTAAGAGCTGGATTGAACTCGGATTGCAGTACAAGTGGGAGTTGAATTACAACCTCAGTTTTGATTGCCTGCAAATAATGAGGCATTGGACAGAATAGCATCTGACTTGTCCATCACCGGAAATGAATGTTCTTGCTTTAATTGAGTATTAACCCATAGTTCAGGCTACTGTCAAGAAAATGGTCCACCATGAGGCAGGCAAATCCTTAATGGAGACACATGAGGATGGCCCATCTGCTCTCACTCTTGCCTCCGGGAAAGAGGTGACAGGTTCAAAACCAATAACAGGACTGTGCCCTCAGAATTTATGCTGATTTAGCAGTGCTATAATTCAGAGAGGACATCAAACTAATGGCCCTTTGGCCTGTTCCAGGGTGTTCTCCAGATAGATGTTAACAATTAAAAGGGACTTTTTACCAAAGGTGTACTTTACTCCATAATCCCTTACGTGCCGTATGGAGTGTCTTACACTGATATTTCTTATCCAGTGAACAAACAAGCATTTTCTTAGCCAGACTGCCATCTGGTTTATTAACTTAACACAGTTTTAATTAGATTTGAGCCAATGAAATGTCTGACAGGACAGGGAATTTTCTTTTTATGTTGTTAATTAATGAGAGAATATTGGTCATTACGGATGTGAATTAAACTAATGTGCATGCAAAATCTGATACAGAGGAATGACTAGGGTTCTACATAGAATCATAGAAATCTAACGCTGGAAGGGACCTCGAGTCGTCAAGTCCAGGCCCTGCTCTGTGGCAGGACAAAGTATACCTAGACTATCCCTAACAGGTCCAACCTCTTTTTAAAGATCTCCAGTGATGGTGATTCCACAACCTCCTTTGGAAGCCTGTTCCAGATATTAACTAACCTTATAGTTAGAAAGGTTTTCCTACTATCTAACCTAAATCTCCCTTGTTACAAATTAAACCCTTTACTTCTTGTCCTACCTTCAGTGGACACGGAGAACAACTAGTCACCACCCTCTTTGTAATAGATCTTAATATATTTGAAGTCTGTTATCGGGTCCCCACTCAGTCTTCTTTTCTCAAAATGAAACAGGGTCCAGTTATTTTAACCTTTCCTCATAAGTCAGATTTTCTAAACTTTTGCTCTTCTCTGGACTCTCCAATTTGTCCACAGCTTCCCTAATGTGTAGCACCTAGAATTGGACACAGTGCTCCAGCTGTACTCACCAGTACCGTGGAGAGCAGGACACTTATCTCATATGTCTTATCTATGACATTCCTGTTAGCACACCCCAGAATATTAACCTTTTTTGCAGCTGAATCACATTGTTGAGTCATATTCAATTTGTGATCCACTATAGCCACGCGATCCTTTTCAGCATCACTACCACCTAGCCAGTTATTCCCCATTCTGTAGGTGTGCATTTGATTTTCCTTCCTAAGTGAAGTACTTTGCACTGGTCTTTATTGAATTTCATATGGCTGAATTCAGACCAATGGTGTCATGGTGTCCCAGCATGGGGTCATCTTTAAATTCTATAAGCATACTCTCCACTCCATTATCCAAATCATAAATGAAAATATTGAATAGTAGCAGACCCAGGAATGATGCCCGCAGGACCTGCCTAAATATGCTGTCCAAGTTGGAAAACAAACTATTGGTAACTGCTCTCTGAATACAGTCTTACAGCCAATTGCACATCCACCTTATAATAATTTCATCTAGACCACATTTCCCCAGTTTGCTCATGAGAATGTCATGTGGGACTGTTTCAAAAGCCTTACTAAAATCAAGATATACCATATCTACTGCTTCCCCCCTATTCCCTAGGCTAATAACCCCGTCAAAGAAGACAATTACATTGGTTTGGCTTGATTTGTTCTTGACAAATCCATTCTGGCTATTCCTTATAACTCCAGTATCCTCCAGGTGCTTACAAATTGATTGTTTTACCAATCTCATAACACATCTTATAATAGAGAAGCTTGATTTTAGCACTGAACATCAAGGCATACCCCACCAATCAGAACAAAAGGCACATCAGCATGCCACGCACTGAAACAGACCACAGAAATCAAAGCAAAGGACACACCAACATTCCCCACTCTGAAGGTGGTGGAGATGTAGTGTTAGGCAGAGTTAAGGCTGTTGGAGGGATGTTAATTCTGGTTTTATAGAAGGTCAGCATGGCTAGAATTTCCAAGGGTTGTTATTTTAGGGAACACTAGTATGGTCTTTCAAAGTTCTTTAGCTTTTAGTTACTGATACAAATTTAACTCCACCTAAATGAGGTCTTCTACTGTGGAATAAATGTAGTGGACAGAATCTGCCTGGGCTTTGTTCATTTTAATGCTTTAACTTCAGTCTGTCCTTTGCAGGTCTGTGATGGGTTCCAGTAAAGAGCCAGACCTTGTGCACCTGGAGGCGAAGACAGTGGATGGCCGTAAGTACATTAGTTTCCAGACTGTATTGTCGTTACCAGCTCTGTCGTGCTCTGGGTTGGCCTGCCATTCTGACGCCAACACCCTATCGTAGAGGAGATCTTACTTTTCTTCTCTGTTCAGTCTCTCACGGGCAGGGTCTTAGAGGAGCTCCTCCAGCTAGCTGAAAGGGTGGTATTAACAGGCTGTGGAAGGAGGTTACCTGCAGGACGGAGGATTCCCATGGGATGTGCAGCCTTTGAAGGCAGTCAGTAAAAGGATACTCTCTTCTCCAGTTTATCTCTACCTGCTCCTCCATTGTGTTTACCCCTGCAACCTTTCTTTGCTCTTGTGGCCAATTTTCCTTCTGCTTACAACTCCAAACTCCTTTCTCAAGCTTTCCTTGTTGGACAGAAGTTTTCTCAGGTCTGCTGATACCTCTGCTGGTCTTTTCTCCACTCCCCTGCTTCCTGCTGTTTAATCTTTCCGCTTCCCCACTTCTGCAGGTCTTTCCCTGAGGCTTTTTTCCTGCAGCTTTCAATTGCCTCAGGCGGTTGTGTACCTCACAAAAACCACCCGACTGTCCTGGATGTTCTCATTTTTAATTCCATGAAGGTTCTCCTGCAAATGTCAGCTTTGCTGGAATGTAAATAATAGATTTGCACCATTTGCAGGATTATTTATTTTTTTGTTTTTATGACATAGTAGATTAACTTCTGAAAAATCCCAGTGGCTCAAACTCTGCTCTCAATTACACAGCCAAAGTCAGTGGTGTTCCTCCGGATTTATGACAGCAGGATTTAGCCCAGAAACTGTCAGGGAGGGAACTGTCTCAAGACAATTTTTTTTTTAACTTGCTTAGCGTTATGGGTAAGAAATTATTCTTCAGAGGATGAATTTTAAAAGACACCATTGGAATAGAAATTGTATATATTTTTAATGTCCTTTCCGTTTAATAACACATTAGATTATTAAAACGGAAAGAATTTTAAATATCTCAGTGCATTTTACCATTTGTGTCTTTTCTTTCCTTTTTTTAACTTTCACATTCCCTGGACACAGAAAGGAGGCTGATCCGTCCTTTCTGCTCCTATGGAAGTACTAAATAGTAATAAAATATTCTACTATGACACCCTCTAATGGAGTAGCTACACTGTTGTATTGTGTTTTGAACAGTTTCTGTAGTAAGTGTTTATTAAGGGCTATTCTCTTGTAGTGACACTCTAAGGTTTATTGACTTCATGGTATGCTCCAGGCTCAAAACTCCAATTCCTCTTTTCTCCTCTTCTCTCTTCTTCTGGTCCAATTCTAGTTCTTGTGACATAAGAAGAATACTTTAGAAGAAAAGGCCTATATAAATGTAGAGACAAAAGTAATAAACATTATTATTCCCATTTTACAGATGGGGAAACTGGGGTACAGGTAGGTGAAATGACTTGCTCAAAGTCACATGGTGAGTCATTACCATAGTTGAGGATAGAACCCAGGTTGCTTAACTATCCAGTTCTAGCCACTAGACAAACTTGCCTTCCCTGAAGAAGATAATTTCCACCCCTCTGGTGAGCAAACCTTTCTCCAGTTGAGGAGAGTAGCATGTAGCTGGAGCAGGCAAAGGGTTGTTAATAAGATGCTTTTTTTCAGGCTTAACCCAAGAGTTACAATTTGTGAACTATTTCTCTAATCTTTTGCAAGGGTCACATGTTTGGGAGCTAACCAAGGGTGAAAATTCAATAAAGGGATTTAATTTGAAAAGGTATCCCTATCGAAACAAATTAGAAAAAAATCACCCAGCAATTGAAACTCAGGATCTAAGCAAAAGCGCCAGACCTCAATGCAAATAACAAGATACTTTTATTCTTGCGCCTTGTATCTTTCCCAGCAGACGCTCAGCAGTACATTAACCATGGCTTCAGATGAGAGAGGATAGAGATGTCACCGTAGTAAGGTATTAGAAAATCTGGCTGGTAGGGTTGTGAGAGCATTTATCATCATCTGACTTAGTCCTGGGCATTCCCAGCCGGAATACTAATAACTTTTTCCTGACTGTGTCTATGCCTTCTGATCCCTGATCATGGTCTGTCTTCATATATTTATTTATTGTATTTCTATACACAGTGTAAAAGATTTACAGATGGGAAAAAAGAACAGTCTCTCAGCTAATATAAATCTATATAACTTCACTGATTTCAGTGGAGCTATTCCCAGTTACACCAGCTGAGGATCTGGTCTTTCATGTCATACGTTAAATTGTACGATCAATGCTAGTGCTTGAACTGGAGTCCCCAAAAAGCGGCTGGGTATGTGATTAATTTGGTATGGAAGTTATATGGCAGTTTGATTATTATACAGTGTTAACTGATGTGATTTAAGTTTTTAATACTCTTGGTTAATTTCTGTTATAGTGCCAAGTGTAGTGGATTTTGATCTCCAGTATAAAATCCAAGTACATAGAAAGTGATGTTTATATTTAGTGGTTTCTCTTAAAGTCCAATCTGGGCCAGATTCTAAGTAAGAGCCAAATGGCAATCGTTGTGTTTTCAGTTGGAAGAAATTCATCTGAGCCTTATCTTACATTTCCATTCATATGACTTTGTGTCCCAGGGTTCCACTTTGAGTTTGGAATAAAATCAGAAACTCATTGACAAAAAAAGTCAGCAGAAGCTACAGATTTTTTGCCTGGTTTCAGGTCAATGTTGTAGAGACACAGTTAATTTCATGTAGATCTGAACAACACCATAAGTTATTTTCGGTAACCAGAGGGCAGAGAGTATGCTGTTAGAAGGTAGAGCCAAATTAGATTGAAACTTAACCAAAATCCCCTTGAAAGGTCTGTAAATTTTTGAGAAACTTAGGTAGGCATTACGTTTATGAAAAAAAAGTTTATGAAAAAAATAAAGTTTTGGGGGTTCTTTAAGTTAAGAATGTTTCATTGGAGGCTGGGGCCAAATCTAATGCTTGAAGGTAAACACTCTGCACAGTTCAGATCGGGATTCACACCCAAAATCTGCAGTTTTAATCCCTCCAGGGCTTTTAATATAAACATCTTGATACATACTGTTTGTTTGTTCTGCTTTGCATGAGAGGTAAATAGCTGTGAGTGAGGAGACGTGGTTCTATCTCCTGATCCTCCACCGATTTGCTGCCTGAACTTGGGCAAGTCAGGGAGGGCAACGTTTTCAATCATGGATGTGTGGCTAGGCACCCACACAAAAGCAAATGAAAGATTCTGAACTCCTGCACTCTCAAGTCTAGTTAATTCAGATAGCGTAACTCCTGTAACAAAATATTGTCGACTGGTAGGTAGTTCAAAAGATGAATGCCTACATTACATTTGGAAACTACCACAGCACCTGCAGGCAATCGAATAAATGGGACATCTAGAATATGAATCTGCTGCTCAGAGCTGGGCAGGAAATGGATTTCCCATCACACACACATTCACCAGATTTAAAGAAAAGTCCCGTCCTGAATTGGGAGGAAAAGTTAAAATCTTGAAATCTTTTATGGAAGCAAGGACACGAACAAGCCAACAAATTTGAAACGTTTATTTAGATTTTATTATTTATTTACTGTATTTATCTTTAATGTCAAAAAGTTTCAACGGTTTTGAAACTTTTTTCCAAAAAAATGTTTCAGTCAAAAAAATTGTCAAAACCCACTCTTTCCTGGAAACTATTTACAAACATCACAATAAGGCTCAAATTAAATGTATTCCTCTTTCCCCCCAAAAAACAAACAAACAAACAACCAGTGAGAGGACCAAAAATTAGCCACCCTGGCTAAAGACCAGAGTAAGAGGTGATTGGAGGCTAAAAGGTGTCCTTCAAAAATTGGAAGTCAAATACTACTGAGTAAAATAAAAAAGGAGCATAAACTCAGGTAAAAGTAAATTCAAGTGTAAAAGTATAATTAGGTAGGCCAAAAGGGAATTTGAATAGCAAAAGACACAAAAACTAACAGCAAAAATTGTTTTAACTACATCAGAAGCAGGACACCTGCCAAATAATAAGTGGGGCCACTAGACGATCAAGTTGCTAAAGGAGCACTAAGGGAATACAAGGTCCTTGCAGAGAAGCTAAATGAATTCTTTGAATCAGTCTTCACTCCAGAGGATGTGAGGGAGTTTCCCACACCTGAGCCCTTCTTTTTAGGTGCCAAATCTGAGGAAAATGTCCCAGATTAAAGTGTCAATAGAGGAGGTTTTAGAACAAATTGATAAATTTGATCTGGACAAGGAGGGAAACAGTGAGGTGGTAAAATTTGCAGATGATACATAATTACTCAAGATAGTTAAGTCCAAAACTGACTTTGAAAAGTTACAAAGGGATCTCACAAAACTGTGTGACTGGGCAACAAAATGGCAGATGAAATTCAATGTTGACAAATGCAAAGTAATGCACATTGGGAAACATAATCTCAATTATACATACAAAATGATGGGGTCTAAATTAGTTGTTACCACTCAAGAAAGATATTTTGGAGTCATTGTGGTTGATTTCCTGAAAACATCTGCTCAATGTGCAGCAACAGTCAGAAAATCTAACAGAATGTTGGGAACCATTAGGAAAGAGATAGATAATAAGACGGAAAATATCATAATCCACTATATAAACTGAGGGTACGCCCGCACCTTGCATACTGCAAGCCATTCTGCTTGCCCCATCTCAAAAAAGATATATTAGAATTAGAAAAGGTACAAAAATGATTAGGCGTATGGAACAGCTTCCATTTCATGAGAGAGTAAAAAGACTGGGACTGTTCAGCTTGGAAAAGATGACTAAGAGGGTATATGATAGACGTCTATAAAATCAATGAATAGTGTGGAGAAAGTGAATAGGGAAATGTTACTTACCATGTCACATAACTAGGGGTCATCCAACAGGTTTAAAACTAACGTAAGGAAGCACTACTTCATACAACTCATAGTCAACCTATGGAATTCATTGCTAGGAGATGTTGTGAAGGCCAAAAGAATAACTGGGCTCAAAAAAGAGTGAGATAAGTTAATGGAGGCTCGGTCCAT